TTCTGCTCTTCTCATCACTTCTGACCAATCAAGAAGCTCAGATGAATACTGGATGTTAAATCGGTATGGAAACCCTGAAACACAAACCACAAACTGATTCAAATTCAGCTGTAGCTGGGCCTAATTTATTATTTACACTAGGTGCTGCTGTGACATACTCTGTGGTCCAGAGGGTCCGGTCTCCTCCTGGACCAGCAGACAGGTGGTCTGAGACAGGGGAGATGGGTTACTTGAGTTATACGGGCTGACAATCATCCCGATGAATGGAGCACCTCCTCGAGAGAAATAACTCTGCCATAGAAACAGACAGAGAGGATGTGACACGTAACCAAAGACACCATCCTATTCCAACTACAATATAATACAGTGATGTGTTACCTGGTATTTGGCCTGAGTGTCAATGTCTCTGAGGGAGGGGTTGGGGTCGAAGGCTGGATGAGAGTGGTACCAACCCACCACACTGTGACCTTTGACCCCGAGCAGCTCCGAGGCCTGAGTCTGAGAGACGGGGTCCATCTCACACTGCAGACCTGTGCTCAAGCTGTTGCATGGCTCTGCTGCACAGATCTGCACAAACATCAGCAAAATGACAAACAAATCAACAGGCATTTATTGTCACAGCCGTCCGAAACTGATTGAAAAAAACAGACTCAGTTCAATGAATCCATGAATGAACTGACCTTTAACACCTTCTCTTCATCTTCATATGTTCCTCCTAAAAGGCCAATCACCTCTCCCATGGATACATGAGCATGCTGGGAATGGATTCAATTATTAGTACAACATAATACTGAGGAATGAATGAAAATGCAAATCTGGAAACCAACACTGTGTCATACTTACTATATCCATGACAACAAGAGCCTCAGCACAAACTATCACTTTGTATGGTTCCTGAGACACAACAGACAAAATAAGTCTGATGAAATTCATTTCTATACAACAAAATAAACTGCAGTGTTGTCACTAGGGTGGCCCATAAAATATCCAGGTTTTGGTTTTGTTTTCCTGTTTTCATACTTGCTGAATGTAATGATCGAAAAGTAGTTTGACCAATAACGTGCAGGCATTGTGCATGATCGACCAATCATAGTGCGTTAGAAGGTGGGTTCTACAGAGAACGGTCAAAGTGATGCAAATATGCGTACATATTAGGTGTGTTCGTTTGGCTTGAAGCGGAGCTGTGCAGATCGATCGTTGTATGACATCAAAGTACCGCGAGAGCGATACAAAAGCACTCTCTATAGCTCTCGTGGATGTCATACAATGATCGGTCTGCGCAGTGCAAACAGACAAAACCTGGATATTTTAGGCACTATAGAAATCATGGCCAAGAAAAATGTCCTGTAAAAATGGCACATATGGTCACCCTAGTTATGACTGAGATACGATTATAGATTTTATTATTAATATTTTGAATTAGTTTCTATTTTCCTATTTTCATTTTAAAGTTATTTAACGTTTTAGGAATTTCGTTTTTATGTTTTAAATAAAACAAACAAAAAAATTTTTTAATTTGCATTATTTTTTCAGTTTTTGTTTTTTAGTACATCAAATTAGAGTTGGGCAGATGAAGCCTTGTGAAGCCTTTGAGGCTTTTCCTGATTGTACCAAAAAAAGATTGGTGGAGGGAACACCAAGCATTTCGCGTCTCCTTATAACGTGCCAAAGATTCGAATCAGTCACCTCGCTTCAGGTGTTTCATTGTGACGTATGAAGCCTCAAACGTCATCGGTCACGTGATCATGGAGATTTGATACAAGCCACGACAGTCTTTCGAACCAGTCTGCTTCAATAGAGTAAAACAGGCTTCAGAGCCTCAGTGTCAAACGTCCCATTTCTACATCAAATTAAACTAAATGAAAATGAGAAATTGAAATAAAATAAGTTGAAATAAAATTAATTGTCAACTACCTGAAATAAGTTTATTTCATTTATTTTGTTGCAGTAAATGTTTATTTTATTTCAAGTAACTTTTTTTTATGATTTTAGTTTTAGTTAACTATAATAACCCTGATGAACATAAATTATGAAGAGGAATTACAGCAGAACTGGCAAAAACTAGCATTTAGGTGGCACTTCACGCTTGAATTGTTTCAATGATTCAAAAATTCCTAATTCTGGAATTTACATGACGGCTGGAACACACTACATGACTTTTGCCTAGATTTTTGCCCTGATTTACAATCTAGAGAACTCAACACTAGTTGCCTTTAGTCATAGCCAGCCAGCTGATGATACCCAGTTTTTATCTGCAAGCACTTACAAAGTCGACAAGTGTGTGTGATGGCTAGTGTTTTAAAATCTGTATTCCAGTCTTAAAGGTGAGGGGGCATGATTAATAGTGTTTCTTTTTTATGATATTTTTAGAATTGTACTTTTTTCAAATTTTTATACATTAAAAGACTGGTCAAAGATGTTATTAAAAAAGAATAATATTTACCTCTGTTTCCTCTCCAAAAGCTTTGCATGGAATGAGCTGGAATGGATCAATCAGAGAGCTGCAGAGAACAAAGTCATGGAATGAATTCAAGATGTGTCAATCAAAAGCCTATAAACAAGATCATTAAACAAAAGATCTAGATGTTAAAGGTTTCCGTTTTGTTAGTGAGCGTGTGTTTACCCTCTCTGTTTGGGGAGTTTAGATGGTTTTGGTCCTTTCTTCTTCATTTCCTCTCTTCTGATGGCCAGCTCCTCTGCGCTCAGATGCTGGATGACAAAAAACCCACACAAATCAGGGCTCAATAATGAGAAAGTGTAAACAAAAAGTATTTTCGGTAACACTTTACAATAAGGTTCATTAGTTAAACATTAGTTAATGTATAAACTAACATGAACTAACCATGAGCAATACATTTGTTACTGTATATACTAATCTTCACTAAACGTTAGTTAATAAAAATACAGATGTTCATTGTTAGTTCATGTTAGTTCACAGTGCATTAACTAATGTTAACAAGATTTTAATAATGTGTTAGTAAATGTTGAAATTAACATTAACAAAGATTAATAAACGCTGTATAAGTGCAGTTCATTATTAGTTCATGTTAACTAATGTAGTTAACTAATGAACCTTTTTGTAAAGTGTTACCGTATTTTCTTAAAAAGAAAAAGCATTAAAAATACATATATTATTATAGCATTTTAAAAAATGCATTAAGTGTAAAGATTTTCATTTTGTCTTTGATCAACACACACACGCACACAAATCACATGATGTTTTATAAACCATTGAAATCAAGAATCACTTCATGACAAATTTTTTGTCAATCTTAAAAATAGATTCTAATTGTATCAGGTCATAAAAACAATCTGTCCTGGAGTGGTTCTCTGTAGATTATATTTCAGTTCTAAGAAGAACTGCAGATTTTGATTCAATACCTCATATGTCTGACCCTCTAGATCTTTAGCATCACACCAATTCCCCCACATGTCCCGAATGCGCCGCTTCCTTGTGCGCTGCAAACACACACACACACACACACACACCACCACCAAATACATTAGAAGATTCATTAAACAAGCAGATAAATGAAAACAGTTGTAATGGATAAACATCCACAGATAACGATGATGAGAACAGTAACAGTGAGCTGTAACCCTTCCTCACCATAGACTGCAGTCTCTGGGCAAGATGATACGCCTCCAGCCTGTCTTTGTTTTCCTTTAGCCGAGAGCGATCAACCAGCTGTGGACGGTTATAGATAGCCTGATCTGCAGAGGAAGGGAGAAAGAAATAGAGTTTAGGGAGGGCAACTGTACTCATGAAAACAGAGAAGAAACTGACCGAGCAATAAGCATTACCACAGTTGAAGTTAATAGCTCCAATGAGCTCCAGGTAGGTGTGTATCCGACCGATGCAGTTGACATCCCCACAATTCTTCAAGCCTGGACGCACTGATGTCTTGTTAAGGTACTTGGGTTTACTTCTTCCCCTGAATAGACATGAGAGAAGTTCATTTTCAAGAAAAGATCAAGTTTTTAATAAGTATACACTACCGTTCAAAAGTTTATGGTCAGTAAGATTTTTCTTTTGAAAGAAATTAATACTTTCATTCAGCAAGGATGCTCTAAATTCATGAAAAATTACAGTATTTTAAATTGTTAAATTCTATTCATCAAAGGATCCTGGGGAAAAAAAAATCAGTTTCCATAAATATTTCAAGCAGCAAGCACAACTGTTCTGATATTTAAAAAAAAATTATTTATAAAAAGTATAAAAAGAACAAACATATTTAAACCATATTATGTCGTTTTTACTGTTTTGTTGTTTTATTAAAAAAAACAACAACACTATTTTCAGTATATGTAGTATGTGAACTATGACAGTCTATGTATGTATGAACTTAAAAACGTTCCTCAGAAGTGCACAGAACAACATCTCACCACTGGTCCAGGATGTAATTGCGGATTTTTAGATATCTCTCTGGTGTTTTTGATGGACGCCCCTCAAAGAATTCTGGGATGGCTTGCTTCTCCTCCTCTGTGATGGTGTTTAGGTCCAGTACAACCTCCTGATCAGGAGCTCTGAGCTCCTCCTCCTCCTCCTCCAGGTCTTCCTCCCCCTCCTCCTCAGGACTTTCACCTGATTCAGTCTTATCTAGAGTACAAAAACACATTACCCATAATTCTGCTAATGCTAATGGTCTGCTACAGTTACAGAGATTAAATGAAGTGCTAGTAATGTACCAGCTCTTTCAATGCTCTCCTCCTCAGACAGGCTGTGTTTGCCTGGGCTGCCTGATTTAGAGAAGCACGTCCCACTTTCCTCCTCAGGTTCCAGATCAATCCCAATATGAGTAACAATGCTAGCGTTTCCATTTGTGTCTGGATCAGTGGGTCCATCTTCAGCCGTGCTTCCTGATTCTGACAGAGGGTTTAAAAGTACGTCTGATGGAGGTGGCAGTGGACTGAGTTCTGCTTTGTGGTTGCACTCTGGGGAGCCTGGGGGCTCTGGCTGGTTTTCTGACTGATGCCCATCGTCACTGAAGTCATCAGTGATGTCAACATCTTGGTCATCAGAAAGTTGCTCGATGCGCACAGCATTGGTCAGGGCTGAGACATGAGGCTGGATCGAGGGGACCAACATGGTGTCTGAAGTCACATTAGAGGAGGGCACTTTGGCAGGTGTGTCTGTTTTAGACTAAAGTTCAGACACAGGGAAAAAAATAAAGGGATGCTTACTGAAAGAAGCTCATTTTATTTTAATACAATGTTGAAAAAATATTAAGAACATATTTTTGTACAATGAGGTATCACCATGTTTTATAATTCTGAATTAATATTCATATTGATATTTTTGATCAGGCTTGTTGAAAAACAGGAAATCATATTAAACAGTCTGCTATACTGCTCAATAGTATGGGGTCAGGCAGATTTTTTTAAAGAAAGTAGTTGTCAAAAAAATATTAAGCAGCAAAACATTGATAATCCGTTTTTTTTTTTTTTTTTTTTTAACAAAGATTTTTGAGGAATCATGTGACACTAAAACTGGAATGAA